AAAAAAGAAAGTATAAAACACCAATAATTTCTTCGTTTTGTACTTATATACGACTTGATTTTATATTAGGTGGAAGGATAGTTTGGGAATGTACACGAATTTTTGCTTGCTTCGTAGAATAGCTGTAATTATAATAATAAAGAAATATTACTTGTTAATTTGTATAAAATATAAGTTATCTCTGCTCACGACATTTGTTTTGTTCAACTCATTTTGTTTACTTATAATACAAGATATTTGGACTGCGGAGGACTCCAGGTGGATGGGTATGTCTTTTGCCTTCTCATTACCTCCCAATAGGTGTAAAACAAGTTGCTTATTCAAGAATAAGTAGATTATTCAACACTATAATTTTATTATATTTAATTCAATTGTTTAAGTATTTTACCGACAAATGTAAATACAACGTGATAATTAATTATTTACATTTGATGTTCGATGACGCCAAATAATACAATATAATTACCTACTCTCCCCTCCCTAGATTCTAACCACCCCAGAAATTGAGGTGAATTTGGGCAATACTTCCAATTCAATTATCGAATACTCGAACGTGTGGATTAGATTGTCTATGTGACTTTATGTAGATTTTATTAAAGTCGATTGTGTTTAATTTTTTGTTGATTAATTCTAGCCGAATGTTCACCTTATTTTGTTTTATTAAGAGCATGTGTACCTTAGCGATGAGCGAATTGAAAGGCTCCTCCTCCTAATGTTTTAATATTTATAGGCGAACCTCAAGTTCTTAATTATTTTTAACATATAAAATAAAAGTAACACAAATTACTTGTGAAATTGTAAAGTTCACAAAAAGTTACTAAAATCATTTTTTTCGCACATTCATTCTCAACCACACATATTAAAAAAAAAAAATCAGTATTCACATTTTCTTTTAAAACTTTTCTATTTTTTAATTACACGTTTTCCAAAAAAAAAAAATCACTTTTCAAAAAGAGTTAGTCTACAAGTACATAAATTTTTTACAGAATTGGTACAGAAATTTGAAATCAAGAACTCAGATTCAAAGTCGGAAACAAAACACACACACACAAATGCACAGGATGCTGCCACATACAAATTCTGTAAATATCCCCTGTACTCGGAATATTTGTTTCAAAAAAGCAACTTCATTCATACGAGCACTAACTAAATTTTTTAAATCAAAAACCAGTTAATCAACTATACATTTTACAAACTAATGCTTGTTTGATTTTCTCTGGTCTGTATTTTGCGTGTTAGTTTTGGGGTTTGAACGATGTATACGGTGAAAATGAAATCTAGTTGAGAAGAAATAGTGGCATTGATTGACGAAGCCCATAATTTAGAGGCGTGTCTCATTTTAGGGAGAACCTTGAATGTAGAGATAAGTCTTGTAAAGGAAGGGACCTCGTGGAAGAAGCTCGATTATAGGGTGGCCAAGAATCGTGTATTTTCGAAGTTAAAATGACGTCTACAAGTAATTATGATGATTAGATGCATTAGACGTTTTGAGGTTACCTCTTGTTGAATATGCGTGATTGCCTTGGTGTAACTAGAGCCCTCCATTTAAATAATGATTTGTGTCTCTTAACCTTCAATGGATGGGATTGGACGAGGCGGTTGACGATAGCGATGGATCTTGATTTTGATCCAATAGCTAGGTTGAAGTGGCATCGTCCTTATAAAGGTTAAGGGTTCATTTGAACCCTTTTACTTTTTGCTTCCTTCGCTTTTAAGGGTTTTTCAGCGATTTTCGATGAACAAACATATTTTAATGAAGCTCTTTTTGACATTCTCCAAGGCCATACTATATCATCCTCTGAGGCCCTATTTTATCATACTCTGAGGCGATGAAGAAGCATCCATTGTCTCGTCGACCATTGCTTTCAGGGACGTTGAAGGCACAACCCAACGCCTCGATAACTAATGCTTCCGAGGCGATTTAGCCTATAGTAGGAATGTCAACACTTGGCTATGAGGCTACGAAAAGAGCCTTGGCGATTAATGTGACGTTATCTACAATGGTGGTTGAGAGCAAACATAATTTTTTCTCCCTAGGACAATGTATAAGGATGCGGATATGCATAGGACGTGACACTTTGATGTTATGGAACTTANTCTCCCTAGGACAACGTATAAGGATGCGGATATGCATAGGACTTGACACTTTGATGTTATGGAACTTAACCAATGAGGTGTTGGGATGAAGTCGCGTATCAAACATCAAAATATAGCATCCATTCATTTCCTTGCCTAAAAATACTCACTTATGTCATTCAATATTTTGGTATTTCTCTTTACGATATACACTTGACTCAATATCAAGTGTCATTTCCACACCCAACATCTTTCTCATTGTCCTTTTGGATTGACTAGAGCTCCGAGCACGTAAAATGATGACCTCCGTGTCCTTTTTGTTTGGGGAGGCTTTGATCTTGCATCTCTAATGTCTGCATTCCAAGTGCATTGTTGGAGACGAGTTGAAACCGCATCTGTTGAAGCACTAGGACTCAATTAGAAGTCAACAAGAGACGTATAACCATATCAATTAGTATAAAAAAAAATCAAGTCAAATTAACATTTTCTACAAGAGACGTAAAACCACTCATAAGTTTTATTTTTTAAAATCGTTTGTACTTGAAGATTCCTAGGTATCAATTATTGTGTGGACTTTGTCACACGGCTCTTTGTAATCTTTTTAAATTTGTCGGACCAAGCATGTTGTTGTTGGAAGGAGCATTCGTGTTTTCGATACCCCTAAATGAAAGTTCGAAGTAGATACACAATTTGATAGCTTTTTATTTTCTATAAATACATTCAATTTAATAAGTATCTTGTATGAAGAAGGCTTATGGTAGATTCTAAGGCATGGCATAATAAACAAGAAAGGTTTTCATAAATGTCTCTCTTTTTTTTTTTTTAGGTAGAGGGAAGAGACCGTTGATTCTTTATTTGATTGTGAAAATATTATTCAAGAATGCCCCTTTTTATGGAGAAATAAAATTCACATATAAGAAAATCCTTATTCCATGACTCTTTATGTCTTCAATATGACCATTTATGAGGAAATGGGGTAAAATATCAAATACTATACTAGAAGGATTCCTCTTTGATTACAGATATTCCTATGATCGGTTCAATAAGCATTTTCTTTTACAATTCATATTCCAAATTCAATTCATCCCTATAGTATTGAGCCCTCTTGCTTGGATAGCTCTTGGCTGTGGTCATATTCGCTCAACTTATAAGAACATAAGCACAGCCTTCCCTAGGATTATACACCATGCAAGGATGACCTTCACTAGTAGTTCAGCAAGCAATCGAGAGGTCATTCATATAAGTGTTATGCCATAAGTCCAATCAATTTTGAATATAAATACTTTTAATAAATGATTAATACATTTTATATTTTGG